TTCTAAGATGGTCTAAGATGTTTACATTATCTAAGATGTCCATACAGTTTAAGAAGAACACAATCTATGTCCACACTCTCTAATATCAACAACCTTTAACATGTCGACTCAGCGCAAGGTGTCCACACAGCTCAATTTGTCGACATTGTGCATGATGTAGCGATATATGTTGTTGTTGTTGTTTTAGATTCAGCTACTGGGGACAAAAAAGTCCGAGCAGCACGGGCTATGGTGAGCCCGTCGTACTCACCTGGCACAGGAGATATGCTCGCGATACAGTGTTTGGTGTTCGGACACTTTACTATGGTTTAAGATCTCCGTGGTGTCTTAAGTCTCCGTGGTGTAGTGGTAAGACACTCGCCTGGCGTTCCGCGAGCGCTATGTCATGGGTTCGTATCCTGGCCGGGGAGGATTTACTGGGCGCAATTCCTTAACTGTACCCTCTGTTTAACGCAACAGTAAAATGTGTACTTGGATGAAAAAACGATTCTTCGCGGCAGGGGATCGTATTCCAGGGACCATAGGATTAAGGACTTGCCCGAAACGCTACGCGTACTAGTGGCTGTACAAGAATGTAACAACTCTTGTATATATCTCAAAAAAAAAAAAAAAAAAAGATCCCATACCAGGTGAGGTAGCAGCGGTATTGTGGTGGTGTTAAGGACGGGACGCTATCTGGCCACCGCTCCTGTGCCAGGTAAGTCCACTACGGACTCACCATAACCCGTGCTACTTGGACCTTTTTGTTGCGAGTTGCTGAATCTTAACTAAGCCACTAAGCCATCTGGCAGTCTGCTGACCTGCCACTCGCCGCCTCCTCCTTACTAAAGTGACCAAACACGCGCGGGCCACTGGCAGGAACTCCGGGACGCTTGCTACAGCGCACACTTTCTCCCAGACCGGATATGACGGAGTGTCTGCCTTGTGTCTACAGCACTGCTGCGTTTGGCGGAGTGTCTACAGTAACAACAAATTAGAATATCGCACATATAAACACTAAGTTATTCCCTACAATACACACGATGTGTGACACGTTGAGGCTGACCGCTTGGCCTTGTTTGTTTCAAAACTCGCACACCAAACATACGGAGAAGTCCACCCCAACACTGTACTACCAGGCAGGAAGAGAAACGAATGTAAATTAATGGTCAACGTAAATTAATGCTCTAAATATCATAAAATATCGAGTCCTTCGTGAGGGGCCACGAGGAGGAGCAGGCACTAGGCTCCCTGAAGACTCCTCATGAAGATCATAAGAGCACAGGTGTCGAGGGAGAAGAGACGAAGGGTGGTAGTCTGCTCTTCACAAGGAGTTGTACATGTCTCTATGGTTTCGCCTTCTTAGCCCCACAAGATGTGACGCTGCTAAATAAACTTGCCTTTCGGGGCAAAATTCAAAATTATTAAGAGCTGTGAATTGTTAATTTTAGATTCTATTGTTCTATGGCTTGACTAATCCCCTTCAATTTTTTAAATTATTCTATTTCATGATGACGCAGTTCTAGTCAGCTCTAACACTAATACGAAATTTATATATTAAACAATGAGTACTTCACGTACAGATGGCCACCAGTACTCTCGGATGTAGTTACCATGTTGAGTGAAGGAAGGCGAGAGCAGATCGTAGAGTGAAAGCCTAGCATCAGCATGTTCCTGACTGGAATGTATTTGTTGATTATTCTCTCAAGACAAAACATGAAGCTCTATTAATGTGGCCTTCTCACACAGGCCCAAGAGCTGGACGTGGTAGGATACCAGTGGTAGGATACCAGTGGTAGGATACCAGTGGCAGGATAAAACAAGTAAACGAACTAAAACTTTCTTCTTGCACGGTCGGTATTCGATCCAGATAATCCTAGAGGTTAGACTCGGTTATCATATCCCAGTTCTTTGACCGCTTATCCCAGCTCTTTGTGTTAATCCTTGTCTTGCAGTTTTCTTGTTATTGGGAAGGAGTGTAGTACCTGTGGCGTATTCTTCTTTATTGCTAAAAATATATATACTTATTTACAAATGTGTGTATGTGTGTAGCTTAGTATCTGTGTGTGTGTGAGATGAAGGCTGGCTCTGTCCTACCTGTAATAAATATTTGATCGTCGGCACTCCTCGGACGAGCATACAAAGAGTACCTCGTTCTGAAGGCTGCTGTCCTAGTGGGGAGGGACTCGACGACATTAGGCATACCAAAGGAGCCTAACACTTGACCTCATATCCTAGCTTCTTGACCTCGAATCTCAACTCCATTTCCTCATTATACCCAGCTAACGTATCCTAATATTCGTTTCATACAGTCTTGGCGCTTCTTGCCAGGGATGCCAAATTGGGCTACTTGTAACCCAATTGTGTTACCAATTAGGATAATTGTATTCAATTAAAAAGCCAGCTATGTACGTCGCTACTTACTACTTTTTCAACGACAGTTAAAATAAGCTGGGCTGTTTGTTCTGAAAAGCGAATCAATCGGAAAAAAAAATATTTGGCTACTTTTATTGTAAAGTTTGTGACATTTAGTTCTTCAGCTCGCGACTTTTTGCAACTCAAATCTGGCACCTCTGCGTTCCTGCTCATAACTTCCTTACCTTAGCTGGTGCCAGGAGCATCAACACCAGCTGGCGACAGTCACTGACCACGGAACGAGTCGGTGGTGACGTGGTCGTCGTGTAAGGAAAAACAGTCTATATGGAGCGAGGAAATGTAGATGTTTATCTCTCAGAATGTTTGGTAATATGTTTATTGTTTGTGATGTGTGTATATGTATGTATTAACACGATGTACTGAACGGGGTGAGAATAGCTTGAGCTACCTCATCCCTTTGTGTGTATTTTACCTCAATAAACTTATTTCAATTTCAATCTATATGGAGCAAGGCCAAGGCTGATGGCTTTTAAGAGTGAAGGTTGATGCCATGTGGGGGCTACATTCACCTGAAACTCCAAACTTAGTTGGAAAGCAAGAACAGTTGTTTGGTTGTCCTTGTGGAACTATGTTTCGTCACTAGATGGGGTGACGTGCACCAAATTACAGATGTTGCGAGGGGTCCTCTCTAAAAATCAGGGAGTTGACTATTATAGTTAAACTGATTTCCCTTCAGTTTTTCTGAGCTATTTACTATATTTCAGGTTAACTTCAAAACCTGAAAACAACAAACAGTCGACAAAATACTATCAAACAATTTTGACCGTGTAGTGTAAAATTAAAATACATCTTACACGGACCGAGACATTTGGACTCGGACATTATTTAATATCCGTGTATCAGAGATCTAAAATAAATATGAATATTATATAAAAAGAGCGGCTTTCCAGTCTACGAATGTTTACTAAATGTAAACAATGTATTTTGCGTTAATGAGTTATTTAAAAGTTTGTGCAAAATTACTTATATAAAAGTTGATGTTCTTGACAACAATCGGCTAGTGATTGGCTAGTTAACCGGAGTGGTGTTAGGCCGTAGGCCCGCAGATAGCAGGAGGCAGATTGGATCAGATTTAGTGAAGTGACATTCAGCGTTTCCATCCTCAATACTACTGGGAAGATAACTGCCTAATTTACCTAACCTACACCCTGGAACGTAGTAGAAATAGCCTAAGCTACTCTATCCCTTTGAGATGTATTTCTTTCTTATCTCAATAAACATACTTGAACTTGAACTTGGAAGGTAGTTGAGCGTTTCCTGTGAAGCCTCTCTTCTGATCCAAGCACAGTAGACAGACGAGGCGTGTTCCATCCTCCAGGCGGACAGGCCTTTCGATCCTGTCACGACACAGTTCCTTTCTCCTCCGGTCTGATGATGATGATGAAGATTAAGCCACCCAAAAGGTGGCACGGGCAAGCCATTACCAGTATCAAGAGCTGATACTGGAGATCTGTGGAGGTGCGACTGCACCCTGCGTGACGGGAGATGTCTCCCGTGTTCACTATTCGATGATGATGATGATGATGAAGATTAAGCCACCCAAAAGGTGGCACGGGCATGAATAGCCCGTAAGTGGTGGCCATTTTAAGCCATTACCAATATCTAGAGCTGATACTGGAGATCTGTGGAGGTGCGAATGCACCCTGCATGATGGGAGATGTCTCCCTTGTGAATGTGTTAAGATGAAGATGAAGCCACCCAATAGGTGGCACGGGCATGAATTGGTAAGTGGTGACCCTTTTGAGCCATCACCAGTATCAATAGATGATACTGGAGATCTGTGGAGGTGCGAATGCACCCAGCGTGACGGGAGATGTCTCCCATGTTTTAAACAAATGAAGAAGATGAAGATGAAGCCACCCAAAAGATGGCACGGGCATGAATAGCTCGTAAGTGGTGACCCTTTCGAGCCATCACCAGTATCAAGAGCTGATACTGGAGATCTGTGGAGGTGCAAGTGCACTCTGCGTGACGGGAGATGTCTCCCATGAATGTGTCCAAGATGACGATTAAACCATCGAAAAGGTGGCACGGGCATGAATAGCCCGTACGTGGTGGCCCTTTTGAGCCATTACCAGTATCAAGAGCTGATACTGGAGATCTGTGGAGGCGCGACTGCACCCTGCGTGACGGGAGATGTCTCCCGGACCAAGTGGTGACCAGATGGGACGGGGTGTCCTCCGGTCTGGTCTCCTTGTTATCGTGTACACGTAGCGGTCATCACGACCCCGACACAGGTCCCAGATTAGCCGGGGTCACAATCGAATGACGAATTCATTTACAAGATTAGTACCTCTTATCTCGATCATGGTGACTTAGTCGGTATTTACTAAAGAATTTACGGGCTCCGAAGCGCTAAGGAATCGTACTCAACCCAAGATATTATATACATCTCGATATTGTTATTTGATTGTGAAAGTTTGTGTTGCTTAGGACGACTTCATAGTGCTACGCAGCGCGTCAACTGTTTCACACAGCCTAAGCCACCACCATCATGATAAGAGGTACAGATTAGTGGACTCGTAAAGCTTCGTGAATCCCGCCGACCGTTACAAAGATACGTGTTTGGGAGAGACAAAGACAAGTGCGTTTAGTCACGTTTATTCCACCCCTAAGAGACAGAAATACAATAAACATCACGATAACAGACAAATGTACAAATGCAAGAAGTTGTCACCGGGCTTACGGAACGCGCATTGTTTAATGATAATTATATAAAATATTACAGCATACAGTACAGTCAAAATTATACAAGATATTACAGCATAAAGTATAATTATAACAGATATAACAGCAAAAAGTATAATTATATCATATTACAGCATAAAGTGTAATATTACAATAGATATTACAATATAATCATAATTATACGAGATACGCGATAAGAAATGCAACTGGAGACTTAATAAGAATAAATTATATGTACAAATTATACAAAGATACAGTTGTGGGTAATTTTGTGGCTGGTTGCACCAGTCATAGACTGCCTGATCCAGTCATGGCCTGCCTGATTTTATCACACTTACAGGTTTAGGAATTGCACTAAATGAAAACGAATTTTGTCTAACTTGGTCATTTACAAGAAGTTGACATAACATGACATACGTTGATGAATAAGAACTTGACATCGTATACAGCTATTTAATTTTTCATAGGGAAACTGAAAGGGATACCAGAGTATAAAGTAAGTACCCATTGTCACCGTACAGTAAATCCTCTCTGCAGTGACCATTGCTCTCCCACAACTCGTATATCTGGGCGCATAAACCACATTGTTTTGTATACCAGAAGTTCTAGGGAAGCTGATTTATCTAAACAGATTTTTATTTTATCGTTGTAGAAAGGTCTGTAGGAAAGTGTAGCCAATTAATGATCTACCGGAGATTTATTTTTATGTAGAAATAGGCCTCCAGGAACTACCACTGAGCTAGATGAACTATGTACAAGTGCAGTGTTCAGAACTGTACATTGTGATGACATTACCCTTCACAGCAACGGTCTCACACAACGGTCTCACAGAGCAGCCTCACACAGCAGCCTCACACAGCAGCCTCACACAGCAGCCTCACACAGCAGCCTCACACAGCAACTTCACACAGCAGCTTCACACAGCAGCCTCACAACAAAGGTCTCCGAACAGCAGCCTCACACACAATAGCCTCACAACATCAGGCTAAAACAACATCACCATACACATATACATCATCATATACACATCCCTCATCTACACAGACACTGATTTATTACTTAAAAATATATTGACTTATCATGAACACAAACCGACACTACAACAGTGTGCAGAAACAGTTGTGACAGCATCTGACACCTGACCTCATACAACGAACTCCTGCCACACCTGTTTCATGCTGTATTGCCAGTCTTAGTGTAGGTTTGTCTTCTGTATATATATACAACTGGCAAACCTGTTCTTATATATAGTGATGCAATGTTGCTAACTTATATATAATGATAAAAGGCTAGTTATCAAAAGCCAAGTAACTTTTGACGTTACTCAGATTACATCTTGGATCACATCCTGTAACAGTTACAGTCCTTATGCATGACAGATCCAAGGAAACTATTGAATATATTTATATGTTTGTAACAAGCCTCTTGAATGCTATAATATTTACATTGATGGTTAAACCTACACGTGAGAGTCATGGACAGACAAACTACAGAGCCGTAGAACTGGGTTGGCAGGGCGTCACCTTAGAGCCTTAGAGTCGTAACGTATCAATATGTTTATTTACTCTTTTATCCCCTATTTACCCGCATGTTCAGTTGTGATCTGTAGGTGAGAATGTCTGTCTATCTGTCTAAAGTGAGAGGTTAGACGCTTAGGGCTAATCTCACCCAGTTTTGCAGGGTAAACAGTAAGGGGGCAAGAGACTGTTATAGGCGGGTCGGCCGCATTGATCACATTAAGAGGGAGTCGACTGCCATGGCCACCCCCTACGAAATTGGTGGAAGGTCATGCGCGGGGTCGAAGTCGGCCACGAGGTGGGTCGAAGTCGGCCCCAATGACTTTAACCTTTCGGTGCCAAGGCCGACCAAAACACTGGGTCTACTCACCCACCGCCGGAGAGCCTATCAAGTTAGCTTTATTCGGAAATACTGTGTGTGGAGTTACAATACGTATAAAGTGTATTGATTATGTGGGGAATATCGTAGGTTGGACTGTCACCAGCGACTAATGTTTATCTTGTACTACAGGAACGTACATCCTGGGTTGCCAGCACCAACACAAGACATGTTTATTATATAGACATGGTCTAATGTCTATTATATAAGAGCCCCGCGCCATCAACAACTGGGGGGTAACGAGTGATAGAGCAACAGGTCCCAGCCGGCCGTTGTGATGAAACACTCGTTGTGGTGTTTCATCATGAAACTTGACATTATGAAACTTCGTGAAACTCCCGAGACCTTATCCAGTTATGCTCCAGGTGGGTTTACACGACTCTAAACCTTGTATTTTCCCAGCCCAGAGCGTTTTAGGCTTTCTATGGGACCTGTTTTTAAAGTGATATCTTTCACTGAGAAAAAGATCTATAATGAACTAAGGAGCCCTTCAACATTATAATTTATAAAAATAATATATTATTTATATATATAAATCTAATACATAAATTGTTGTATTATATACTGTGTCACTTCTTACTCTAAGACAAGAAACTTGAAGCAATATTTAATTTATCTTTGGAAGTTGTCTGTGGTTAAGACTTGGCAAAAAAAGGGGATATAAATAGCTATCATTGCATGTACTTTGTGGAATTGTTTTTATATGTGAGCAAGAAGACCTGGGCCATCCTTGTGTTAACAGGGGGGACCTGGGCCATCCTTGTGTTAACAGGGGGGACCTGGGCCATCCTTGTGTTAACAGGGGGGACCTGGGCCATCCTTGTGTTAACAGGGGGACCTAGGCCATCCTTGTGTTAACAGGGGGACCTGGGCCATCCTTGTGTTAACAGGGGGGACCTGGGCCATCCTTGTGTTAACAGGGGGGGACCTGGGCCATCCTTGTGTTAACAGGGGGGACCTGGGCCATCCTTGTGTTAACAGGGGGACCTGGGCCATCCTTGTGTTAACAGGGGGGACCTGGGCCATCCTTGTGTTAACAGGGGGGACCTGGGCCATCCTTGTGTTAACAGGGGGGACCTGGGCCATCCTTGTGTTAACAGGGGGGGACCTGGGCCATCCTTGTGTTAACAGGGGGACCTGGGCCATCCTTGTGTTAACAGGGGGACCTGGGCCATCCTTGTGTTAACAGGGGGGACCTGGGCCATCCTTGTGTTAACAGGGGGACCTGGGCCATCCTTGTGTTAACAGGGGGGACCTGGGCCATCCTTGTGTTAACAGGGGGACCTGGGCCATCCTTGTGTTAACAGGGGGGACCTGGGCCATCCTTGTGTTAACAGGGGGGACCTGGGCCATCCTTGTGTTAACAGGGGGGACCTGGGCCATCCTTGTGTTAACAGGGGGACCTGGGCCATCCTTGTGTTAACAGGGGGGACCTGGGCCATCCTTGTGTTAACAGGGGGACCTGGGCCACCCTTGTGTTAACAGGGGGACCTGGGCCATCCTTGTGTTAACAGGGGGACCTGGGCCACCCTTGTGTTAACAGGGGGGACCTGGGCCATCCTTGTGTTAACAGGGGGGACCTGGGCCATCCTTGTGTTAACAGGGGGGACCTGGGCCATCCTTGTGTTAACAGGGGGGACCTGGGCCATCCTTGTGTTAACAGGGGGGACCTGGGCCATCCTTGTGTTAACAGGGGGGACCTGGGCCATCCTTGTGTTAACAGGGGGGACCTGGGCCATCCTTGTGTTAACAGGGGGGACCTGGGCCATCCTTGTGTTAACAGGGGGGACCTGGGCCATCCTTGTGTTAACAGGGGGGACCTGGGCCATCCTTGTGTTAACAGGGGGGACCTGGGCCATCCTTGTGTTAACAGGGGGGACCTGGGCCATCCTTGTGTTAACAGGGGGGACCTGGGCCATCCTTGTGTTAACAGGGGGGACCTGGGCCATCCTTGTGTTAACAGGGGGGACCTGGGCCATCCTTGTGTTAACAGGGGGGGACCTGGGCCATCCTTGTGTTAACAGGGGGGACCTGGGCCATCCTTGTGTTAACAGGGGGGACCTGGGCCATCCTTGTGTTAACAGGGGGGACCTGGGCCATCCTTGTGTTAACAGGGGGGACCTGGGCCATCCTTGTGTTAACAGGGGGGACCTGGGCCATCCTTGTGTTAACAGGGGGGACCTGGGCCATCCTTGTGTTAACAGGGGGGGACCTGGGCCATCCTTGTGTTAACAGGGGGGGACCTGGGCCATCCTTGTGTTAACAGGGGGGGACCTGGGCCATCCTTGTGTTAACAGGGGGGACCTGGGCCATCCTTGTGTTAACAGGGGGGACCTGGGCCATCCTTGTGTTAACAGGGGGGACCTGGGCCATCTTTGTGTTAGCAGGGGGGACCTGGGCCATCCTTGTGTTAGCAGGGGGGGCCTGGGCCATCCTTGTGTTAACAGGGGGACCTGGGCCACCCTTGTGTTATCAGGGGGGACCTGGGCCACCCTTGTGTTAACAGGGGGGACCTGGGCCATCCTTGTGTTAACAGGAGGGACCTGGGCCATCCTTGTGTTAACAGGGGGGACCTGGGCCATCCTTGTGTTAACAGGGGGGGACCTGGGCCACCTTTGTGTTTACAGGGGGGACCTGGGCCACCCTTGTGGTAACAGGGAGGACCTGGACCTCCCTCGTGTGCTTGAAGGAGAATCTAGTCCTCATGCATAATTATTCGCTTATGCATCATATTAAGCTAAAAAGGTTGGATGATCACAGTCACGCCTTGGGAGCTGCTTCCGTGACCCGCTTCATTCTGGGCTGAGGGATGGGCTTGTCGTCCGAGCGGCTGACAGGATTTGTCCGCTGGTCCGACTGAAGGTTCCGTAGCTGCGACAAGTATTCGAAGGGCTGGGAGAGCTGTGCTCGCTCCTCGGTGGTTTCTGCCAGCCGCTTGGTGAAAAAGACTGGTCTCGCCACCGTGAGCTCGGCTCGGGTGAGGCCAGCGGCAGGGGGCAAGGGTACAGCCGCATCGGTGCCTACCAAATGGGGTTCTTCCCGCTGCTTACGGTGCTTTAGCCGTGGAAGACGGTCTTGCAAGACACGCGAGAAAGTCGTAGCACTTGGCAGAGCATCTGGCTCCCCCTCTACTAGGAGTGGAGGTGGTGAGAAACTCTGTTCCGAGAGGGAAGTCTGAGCAGGATTTTGAAGCAAGAGTGTGGGTCTTGTATCTCCTTTAGATTGGTAGTCTTCGCCAAAAGCTAGTTCAGGGACGTCGTACTCCTCCTCGTCAGTGTAATAGTTCTCATATTCACCTGCTGTTGTGTTTTGTAGTACAAGATCTTGCTCAGTTATAGGAGTGCTAGGTACAGTGGTTGTGGTTTCCTCAGTGGTGACTGGAATAGTGCTAGTATCCTCTACTGGAAAGGGTGAAGAAGTAGGATCGGTGAAGATGGTAACTGTGGAAGTTGATGCCGGATCAGTTGTGATTGGAATGGTAGTGGCAGAGGTGCTGGTAGACGTACTGGAAGAAGTGGTAGTGGAGGAGAAAGTGGCTGAAGGAATTGCAGTAGTTGTGAGCGAAGTAGAAGTAAGTGATGGTGTTGCAAGCGGAACATCAACAGTTGCATTGCTAGAAAGAAATACACCACTACTTGGCAAGGGCTCTAAAGTTGAAAGTACAAACAGCTCTCTGTAGTCAGGGTTTCCCAGACTTTTATCTTCAGCTGAATTAATCCCAAAGACTCTGACCTTAGAGTGACCTTGATGAATAATATAGAGTGGCCAAGAGGCTTCGGTGGTTTCTTTAGAAGGTGGTCCAGATGGTCCTCCTGGATATATAATTTCTAGACCTTTGAAAGTTTCAGGAGTTACAGGGCTCTCTTCGTAAACGTGGGTGTTTGTGCTGGCTTGGACACTAACTCTCGAAGTTGCCTTAGTTACTCCTTTAGCGGTGATTTTGTCTTTGACTTCAGTGATCACCACGTTCGGCCGTACCTGTGGATGGGCGTATTCTGGACTGGCCTCGGAATCTGAGAAGAGATATCCATCCAGGGAGTTTGTGTCAGCCACGGCGTCGAAGTCCCCACCCTGGGGCTTCTCTGTGGCTTCAGCCTCTGTTGTCGTTTCATTGTAACTAGGAGTTGAAGACGTGTATCTATAACTGGTAAGAAGGATATTCTGAATGGTTGTTGCTTCTGTTGAGGAGGATGGCGGTGGTTCCTCTGTGGGCCTTGTGTAGCGGAACTCTCGAACAACAGTAACTGGTTCATCTGTTGCCTCCTCACCATCTGGACCATCTGTGACTTGAGTGAAGCGGAATATCTGGAGGAGTTCGGAGAGAGAGTTAGCGGTAAGGGTGGGCTTGTAAGAGTTCATGTGGTCATCAAGGTGAGGATTGGGAATATGATCACTCGCCTGACTGTCCCCTTCCTTGGATACATAAGAAACAGGACCGAGAGGTTTGTAGTGAACCTTCTCACCATCTGAGCGAGTCTCAGGATGGATATAAGAAGCAATGGAAGGCTCACGTTTCCTCTCTGATGTATCAGATCGTGTATCTATAAGGAACCAGGGGCGAGTGAAGGACTGGGTGGAGTTCGCAGGGGCTTGTCTTTGTGGTGATCCTCTAGGGCGGGATCGCGTGTTGTTCCCCGACTGACGCTGCTTTGTGTTTCCTCGAGGTGAGTAACGAAAGTCTGGTGGTGGAATTTTTCGAATAAAAGATGCTCCGGCAGAATCCGTTGCTGATCCTAGATATGGCGCCTCCTCGATCTGAGACTCTTGAGGGAGGTTACCCAGTAACTCGTGCAGGGCTGGCCGGGTGGTCTTAGACTCTTGATCCCTTGATTGGTTTAGTCGCCTAATCGGGGGATCGAGTCGGTATCGATAACTATGAGCATTTTGTTTACCAGATCCAGAATTGCGATCCCTGCGGCTGAAGGGAAAGACATGACTTGGTCGCTCTACCGTGGTTGAGCGTATTTCGGAGAAGGCGCCTTCCATATCGTAGTCGTCATTGGTGTCAAGGTGCGGGGACTCGTTGGGAAGCTGATGATTGGCGTAAGCATCAAATATATCTGACTTATCCGCAAATCCAGAGTCCTTAGAAGGGATTCTCTGGGGATTGAAATTTCTGTTCAAGTGCACATTGTTTCCTGGATTTTTGGAGGAAACTTCTAAGGCATCAGTCTGAGGTCTGGAGCTCGAACTTTGACTAGAGTGTTCCAACTGCATTGCAGGAACAAAACGGATTGCCCCGACGCTCTGTGAAGGAGCGCGGAAAGCTCTGACAATGTTGGTCTGTGGGTGGATGTGGAAGTACTCGATGTTCTCAGTGCCATAGACAGAGTGGTACTCCGGGTGTCGTGGTTCTGCCCTTACTACAAATACAGGCGGATTTTCGGGTCTAACAGGATACATAGGTTTCTTCGGAACGGGTTCATTACTGAAGTGGACTCTCTCGAGTGGAGGAGGCTGGTACCCTACTGTAGGATCATCTGCCATAGGATTGCTAACATCCATGGGATACCATCCATCAAACTGTAGACTCCGCTTATGCCTCGGGTACTGTTGACGGGCTTTGACGATGGGAACACCACGATAGCCTGGAATAGTAATATCAATATAGTACATAGGAGCGCCCGGGGCGTGAGGCTGAGCGACTTGCGTGTGACTGCTAGACGCTCGCATTCTCTCGACCGGTGACGAAGCTTGTGATGAGGAAGAGGGCATACTAACAGGAACAAAATAGACGTTATTTAAATTGGATTTCTCTGGAGGATAGCTTGATGAAAAATTTGGTATTGGTCGAGTTCTCGATAATGACTGAGAAAAATCAACTGCTTGATGTTCATTGCTTTTAAATCTATTATTGTTTAGCAAACTGGGATGTAAATTATCTGACGGCTTCCATTCCACTGGAAAATTATACCTTAATGCAGTGTTAGTATTTCCCATAGCCTGCATGCGAAGAATTTCCTGCAGTGAATTAACCCTGAAAGGCGTAGTCGAGGGCAAGCCAGGATAGTTAGCATCATCGAAACTGAATTCGTCCGGGTTAGTCTGGAAGTCGAACCCTTGAATGTTAGTCTCGGAAGGGAGCTCGTGTAAGCGCTGGTCTTCAGCGAAGATATCACCCATACCAGCTGCGAAAGGTGGGTAAGGTGGGTGGGCGTCAGGCAGGTCACGAGGAGCAGGGGAGGAGGGAGGAGGAGGAGGGGAAGTAGAAGGATAAAGATGAGGAGAAGTAGAAGGATAAAGATGAGGAGAAGTAGAAGGATAACGATTAGGAGGGGAAGTAGAAGGATAAAGATGAGGAGGAGGAGGAGAAGTAGGAGGATAGAAATGAGGAGGAGAAGTAGGAGGATAGAAATGATGAGGAGAAGTAGGATAAAAATGAGGAGGAGCAGGAGAGGAAAACATAGTTGGAGTAGGGGAATTCGTGGGGTGGGAAGAAACATGCTTCACAGATCCTCCACCAATACTGACATCCCCATTGGACTTCATGTTGATCTCCAGAATCGTCAAGTTCTGCATCTCTTCAGGGACGTGAATATTAATGATTCGCGTGTGCTGGTTCTGGGGCACAAAGGGGCGGAGAATACCGGGCGAAGACGAGTCGTTGGAAGCAGAGAATGTGTTCGAGGCAGACGTTAGTGAAGGAGCGTGAGGGTCGTTATTGTTTTGGCGAGTCTCTGGTCTGTCATTGCCGACGATGGAAATTGGTTTAGGTGTGCCAAAATCACGGCTTTTTAAAGGAGCTGAAATAGTATTATGAGATGGTCTAATCGTAGTGTGAGGTACAGTCCTAAAGGAAGCAGAATTAGGATCTGAAGAGTGAAAAGGTCTCTGGGCACCCCCAGGCAGTCTTCCCCCACCAGCATGCACACCAGCCCCGCCATGCCTCTCACCCCCACCACCAGAGTTAAAATAAGCAGGAGTCCCCCTAAAGTTCATTGGTCTGGGAACATTTCTGGTGATCATTGCTTGCAGGGGCTGCAGCCTCTGCTGCATCACCTGCCGCACTCCGCTCAACCCTCCCAGCAGGTACGGCACGGGATTGAGAGCGTTCAAGGTCATGGAGAACATGTCCATCCCACTACCAGGCACGCCCTGTCTCGCCGACACCTCCACCTGGCGAGATGCTCTACCGTCTCCTATAAGACTCGCACCTCCTGCTGCTGCTGCTGCTGCTGCTGCGCCGTCGCCTGCTGCGTCTGGCAGGGTAGGCGGCTCCATGACTGACTCCGGCAACAGTTCCTCCGCCGGCATCGCCGTGACCAGGGCAGCCAGCGCCAACACACGCGCACACTTCATCTGTAACAACAAACAGGTGTTTACTTGCTCAAAAAACTTTACACACAACATAATAAATCATACAAAATCGTGTATGACGAATATAGTATTTAGAGAGGACACCGTGATGTAGGATATATCCATGTACATAATGTAAAACACAGATGTATATTGGCAGATTTGTGCAAATCTGATTTGCGGTTAGCTTAGTGTTATAAAGTCAGACTGTCCGTGTACCTCACATGTGTCGCATGTTGGGACACACCACAGCTGTAACACGTTACAGACGTGCCTTAATTAATTTAACAGTAACACAAATCAGACATAATGGCTTTATTAAATATGCTCCGTCATGCAACAAGTAAGCATCCACTGTATCATGTTCCTCTGAATATTTTTTAAATGCACATTATTATTATAATAGGATTATTATTATTACAAATATTATTATGAGAATAATAATCGAGATTAACATAGTCTCCCCCTTCCCCCATCCTCTCGCATCACAGAAAACGTTCACCCCGCGTCACCTGTCTTTCTGACCTACTTACCCAGGGAAAATAATTCACTTATTACGGGGATAATCTCAGGTTTGGTTCGTTACAAGTACTGTGGTGCTCTAGTGGCATTCAACTCCTGCTACGTTTGGGACGTTTCGAATTATTATTACTGAATTTAGCATTTACAGGTATGACTATAGTAAGTTTAAACATATGTGTAAACGTGGTTCATTTGCATAAATGGTTATAAACATTGGTTAATGGTTATAAACATTTATGCACAGCACGAGGAAATTGACTTAACTAATTAAACTAACCTGATTGTGTTTACGATGGTTGAACTCTAATTCTTGGCCCATCCACCTAATCTAGAAATAAGCTGAAATAAGCTAATAAGCATTGCTGAGTAATTGCTCCCTGGATCTTGTCCTACCTTGTTTTCAATATCTAAATTTACCTTAAGGCCAATAACACACTAGTGGTCTCGACGAGGACAGGAAGCCGGCGGCTTGTTAAATGTTCCCCATTTGGCAAGATTTTTTTTCTTTCCAGCTGGATTTTAAAATGTGATATAGTTTTGGCATGTACGGCTTCGGCGGGTAGGAAGTTCCATAGGATTATAACCTACGGAACTTGCTCTAATTAGTCTCAAACATCGTGCTAAGTTGCTTCATGCGACAAACCTTCCTCTGCTCGAGTGTGAACACCACGAGGAAGCTTCTGCTATGTTCTTCATGCAAGTTCAAGTAAGTTTATTGAGACAAGACAAAAAATACATCTCAAAGGGATAGAGTAGCTTAGGCTATTTCTACCGTTCTTCATGCAAATCTTTTGTTCATGTGTGTCTTGTCCTCGGACCACTTGTTCAATTATTACTGTTTTCCCGTGTGATGTAGCTGGGACTTGGATTTAACAGATAAGCAGTGTGTGTGTGTGTGTGTGTGTGTGTGTGTGTGTGTGTGTGTCTGTGTGTCTGTGTGTGTGTGTGTGTGTGTGTGTGTGTGTGTGTGTGTGTGTGTGTTCCCCAATTTGCTTAATCATCTCTATTCCCACTTTCAGATGCTTGTTCTTGGCTGTGTTTTGGTTCTGTAATTTATCCATGACTGGTAGGAACCTTACGTGCCTAGTTTGCTAGTTAGGTAACAGGCTATTATTGCTTTTCTTATTGTTTTCTCTTTGGAGTGGAATAAATATACTAGCTGCCTCCCTGAAATGCTAGGTGAAGAAGTCTATCAGTCTCTGCGCAGCCTTCCAGCTGTGCTCTGTGCCCTATAACGCCTCTGATTCAAAAGTCTATTATCCTCTTGTAGTTCCTCCTCTTGTATAGCCAAGCAGCTTCCCTCTGCTGACTTCCTCATCTGCCTCACTCTCGCCTCCACAAGGTACGCAAAGGTCAATGTTCAGTGATTGCTCACTTGCAAGACGGCCTCGAAGCTGACTTTCTTTATGGCCGACTCAGAGTGCATATAAAGTCTACTCTTGCAGGTGTATGTTTGCGTAAGTGTATATATCTGTATCGCAGAGAGAGAGAGAGAGAGAGAGAGAGAGAGAGAGAGAGAGAGAGAGAGAGAGGTGGGGAGGGATGAAGGGGGAAGGCGTGGGCTGGGAGTGGGCCACACGAAGTCGCTGCCTTATTCATGCTGAGACACCATCGTCGTCTTGTGCAGTGTACACTCTCTCTCTCTGACCACTGTGGCCACACCACCGTCATACCAACACACACACACACACACACACACACACACACACACACACACACACACACACACACACACACACACACACACACACACACACACTGCAGAGGGCAGCAACTTTAGCGCATAGAATGAGAGCGAAGCTGCTGGTCATGGGGACCTAAATCACGGAGAGATAAATTGGGAAACGAGGAATCCCCATGGCGGGGAGGAGACCTGGGGAGCGAAGCTGGTAGACGTTATTGACAGAAATTTCCTAACACAGCATGTGAAAGAAGATACTAGGGAAAGAGGAGGGGATACGCCCAGCCTATTAGATCTCATTATCACTCAGAATGTAGAAGACATCGAGCAGTTGGAACATGAAATACCACTAGGAGCTAGTGACCATTGTGTCCTAGTCTTTGACTACATGATGGAGCTTAAAATTGTGACCAAAGGACAAGAGGTCCGGGAAAGGAGACTTGATTACAGAAAAGGGGACTACAGAAGGATAAGGGACTACCTGGGAGAAGTGCAGTGGGAGGAAGAACTTAGAGGAAAAACAGTGCAAGGTATGATGAACCAAGTCATATTGAAATGCAAGGAGGCTGAAGATAGATTTATTCCAACAATAAAGGAAAAAAGCAGGAGGGAATATAATAACCCATGGTTTAATAGACAGTGTCAGGAAGCAAAGGTGAGAAGCAGGAGGGAGTGGAGGAAGTACAGAAGACAAAGGACAGAGGACAACAGGATTAGATGTAACAGAGCTAGGAATGATTACATTAACATAAGACGAGTGTCGGAAAGAAATTATGAGAACGATATTGCAGTCAAAGCGAAAAAGCAACCAAAATTACTACATAGCCATATAAGAAGGAAGATGTCGGTAAATGACCAAGTGACAAGACTGAGGAAAACAGAAGGGGCATATACAGAAAGCGACAAGGAAATCTGCGAGGTACTGAATGCAAAATTCCATGGAGTGTTCACAACCGAGCCTGAGCAGCTCCCATTGTTAGAAGAGACTACCCAAGATGAAAGACTATCGGATATAGAGGTGACAGCAGAGGATGTAATGAAACAGTTGACAACACTGGATGCAAATAAAGCTGTTGGACCAGACAAAGTATCACCGTGGATACTCAAAGAGGCAGCGCAGGCTCTCAGCGTGCCTCTGGCAATGATCTTTAATGAGTCACTTATGTCGGGAGAATTGCCCAGTTGCTGGAAGGAGGCAAATGTCGTACCGATTTTCAAAAAGGGTGATAGGGAGGAGGCACTTAACTACAGACCCGTATCACTGACAAGCATCCCCTGCAAAATACTTGAAAGAATAATTAGGCTAAGACTTGTTGAGCACCTGGAGAGCATTGGGTTTGTAAACAAGCACCAACATGGGTTCTGGACAGGGAAATCATGCCTAACAAACCTTTTAGAATTCTATGATAAAGTAACAAGGATAAGGCAGGACAGAGAAGGCTGGGCAGACTGCATATTTCTTGACTGCCAAAAGGCCTTTGATACGGTACCGCACATGAGACTGCTATACAAACTTGAGAGGCAGGCAGGAGTAAGCGGAAAGGCCCTAGTATGGGTGAAGAACTACCTAACAGGAAGGAGCCAGAGGGTAATGGTAAGGGGCGAAAAGTCGGACTGGCGAACAGTAACAAGTGGAGTACCTCAAGGATCGGTGCTGGGACCAATCCTCTTTCTAATTTACGTAAATGATATGTTTACAGGAGTGGAATCATACATGTCAATGTTTGCAGATGACGCAAAATTAATGAGAAGAGTTGTGACAGACGAGGATTGTAGGATCCTCCAAGAGGACTTAAACAGGCTGCAGAGATGGTCAGGGAAATGGCTACTGGAGTTTAACACCAGTAAATGTAAAGTTATGGAAATGGGATCAGGTGACAGGAGACCAAAGGGACAGTACACAATGAAGGGGAACAGCCTACCTGTAACGATTCGAGAAAGAGACCTGGGAGTGGATGTGACACCTAATCTAACTCCTGAGGCACATATAAATAGGATAACGACAGCAGCGTACTCTACACTGGCGAAAATTAGAACTTCATTCAGAAACCTAAATGAGGAAGCTTTTAGGGCGCTTTACACTGCCTACGTGAGACCCGTCTTAGAGTATGCCGCGCCATCATGGAGCCCCCACCTGAAGAAACACATAAAGAAACTGGAGAAGGTTCAGAGGTTTGCGACGAGGCTTGTCCCAGAGCTACGAGGGATGGGATATGAAGAGCGGCTGAAGTAACTGAACCTTACGACACTATAGAAAAGAAGGGAGAGAGGAGATATGATAGGGACATATAAAATACTCAGGGGAATTGACAAAGTGGAAATAGATGAAATGTTCACACGTAATAATAACAGAACGAGGGGACATGGGTGGAAACTGGAAACTCAGATGAGTCACAGAGATGTTAGGAAGTTTTCTTTTAGCGTGAGAGTAGTAGAAAAATGGAATGCACTTGGGGAACAGGTTGTGGAAGCAAATACTATTCATACTTTTAAAACTAGGTATGATAGGGAAATGGGACAGGAGTCATTGCTGTAAACAACCGATAGCTAGAAAGGCGGGATCCAAGAGTCAATGCTCGATCCTGCAAGCACATATAGGTGAGTACATATAGGTGAGTACACACACAAAATATTCTTCCAGAGGGTATAGACTCATTCCTCTCCATGTTTGCTGATGATTCCAAAATTATGAGAAAGATTAATACAGAGGACAGCATGAGACTTCAAGAAGGCCTGGACAAACTGAAAGAATGGTCCAACAAATTTCTCGGGTTAAGAATTTAACACGAGCAAATGTAAT